TTAAATGATAATTTTTATTATTGAATTATTTGAATAGTTTGAGATAGTAGTTGATTTTAAATTTTTCCAGTTTATAATAAAAAAGGCCTTTTAAGAAATCTATACCGTTATTAAAAAGCTGCAGTTTCGACCGTTGGTTTAAAAAACCATAATTAGCCGCTAACTCCCTAAACTGGAAGTTTGCTAAACTGAAACTGACCAGTCTACCAAATACCATCCCTACAAAAAAGGTGTGAATTCAAATCGTAACAGGTTAGTCTATGAATTTCATAATGGTCATAGACAGTTTTTGAAGGCTTATGTGGGATAATGGCTTTGTGCTTTTATTTATTTACAACAAAAAAAAAAATTTAAATCTCATTTTTTTTTTTAAAAAAAAAAAATTCCTTTTTTTTTCCGAACGAAAAAACATTTACAGAAGGAATAAATCAAAAAATTATTAAAAAATGTATAAATTGAAAAACAGATACTTACTTTTAACTATAATCCTCATCACATTTTACGTAACATATCAGAAAAATAAATCTTTTGTGGAATTCTTAAGTGGTAAATATTGTCAATGTTAACCAAACTTACGAACTCATAATAATAAAATCGACTTTATAATCATTTTAAGAATTTGAGAAATTCAATACATATGAATTCAGACGAGAACACCTAAGAAGCGATCCTAACCTTAACGTTAATATGAGCAATTATCCGCCGCATGTCAACCTTCGTCCAAGTTCTGATGAATTCCAATATGTTATATCGGATTCCATAATAGTATGAAATTCGGGATCCAGGTTACGAATTTTCACAAGCAATTAAAAGTAGATTGTTCTTTTATTCTTTTAACAAAATTATGTGTAAGCATTTCACGTGCGTGAGCCTATATACCTTTATAGGTATATGTATTTACTATATGTATATAATTCCTACTAAAAATGATCAAATAAAAATTGTCGAACATAAAACGATTTTAAAAAAGTATTTGTTTTTGAAACTTAACCATTAAGGTTTACCTCCAAAGATTTTCATATGAAATTTTAAACTTTGACATTTGATAAATGTGGTTTTTTTTTATTGGTCATTATATTGCAATAAAAAAATATCTTTTTATGAAACTTTCAAAAAAAACTAATGAATTCAATAATTTTAAAGCTTTATTTTCGTTATCACTACCCAAAAATGGATACACATGGATGGGTAGTTACAACTTTACCAAAAACCATGATAAGTTCCGCAATCATGTTTGTACTACGCCGCCTAAAATTTTTGTCAATACCCGTTAAATTTTCAAAAAAAAAACAAACAAAAAAAAACGGGTTATTTGTTAAATAATAATAATATATTTAATTATTCACATTTAGTGTCCGACATAGCCTCATTCAAAGCCACGTATTTCCATTGAATCAGTAATTATTCACATTAAATGTCCGACATAGCCTCATTCAAAGCCACGCATTTCCATTGAATCAATAATTGTCCGGAGTGAAGCGAAGGACTATATATGTTTTTACGTTAAGAGGTTCAATAATACGATCACGTGACAATGTCTGTTTGTCCGGCATACGTCACTAAAAATTTGGATAACTTTGATTTACAAATAGAATATATAGTATTTCGCTCTGGACACACAATGGATTCCATTTCCTAGTTTTATTAGTCCGGAGCGTAAGCGAAGGACTATTCTGGGCCCTGTTTCTGCTTATCCGCCCGCTCAATATAATTGAGTCAATGCTGATTGGCCTTTGCAATTGCACAAAAGTCTAGATAAATCAAATACCAGTGAGAATTTTTTTAGTTAAGATCGTTCGGGACCTAACAAAGGTCCCCGTTCCCTAGTTTGGTACTTATTACTGTCAAAATGTTTTATCAACCTCATGATGTAAGGTACCCACCAAAGATAATTATCAAAGTTCACAGCTTTCACGGATTCACGGAAAAAACAATAATTTACAACATATCATTGTCTATTTTCATAGCCACAAAAGATTTGCATCATATATATATATATAAAAAAAGGTTCGGTTATTAGCGCCATACTTAAGCCATAAGACGATCTATCGTGAGATTCACCCTTTATCAACATCTACCGTGGTATAAAAATATTTGGATCTTTAATCATACTGTATTCTCAAAGAGGAGATATTCTAGTCATTACGCGTGAACGATTGCGGACCGATGAATTTTCGATATATTCTAGTTAATAAACAAGTTTCCAGGTCCTAAGCCTAATCCAAGCCTGCTTGCTAATAATTAAACTTTTTTCATTTTAGTTTTAATTAAATTTATTAAGGTAAATTTACCCAAATGCAATCAAAGCGGTAAAAAATCGGATTGTGTTATAATTATATGAAATCTACAAGGAGGAGGCTTCCATTCAAAAAGTCTTCCCGGTTTATTTGGTAATTTGAGATAATTTGTCTATTTTGTTTACCAAAAGAAAAAAAAAAAAGAGGCTTTTTCATAAAATTAACGTTTTGAGAAATGATGTATTCTTGAATAAGTAAAGAGTAAAAACTTTTCCTTTATTAAGTATATTTCTTGGAAAGTCGTCATAACCCAAAATTTGTATAAATACCCATACGCTTTTTCGTTCTATTTTTTTCTTAACTTAATATAATTCACCAATTGTATTGATATAATGAAGTTCAGTCAAGAACTCTTGATGCTGGCATTGTTTGCCATCGGCTCTTCCGCAATTGGTAAAATAATAGAATTTATACTTGTCTACATTCAAACTCTCTTACAGTTAAATTAACTGACAAGTACTTACGTTTATAGCCATAAAACGCGAGCCAATTCCAAACGCAGTAGCCGACGCGTACGAAAAATATGATCCCTACAAGCAAGATGGAGAATACTACTCCCCTTACTATAATCCTTATGTTGATGATTATAAGCATGATAAGCATGATAAAAAATACAAAAGGGATGCTTTAGCCACAGCCGACGCGTACGAAAAATATGATCCCTACAAGCAAGATGGAGAATACTACTCCCCTTACTATAATCCTTACGTTGATGATTATAAGCATGATAAGCATGATAAAAAATACAAAAGGGATGCTTTAGCCATAGCCGACGCGTACGAAAAATATGATCCCTACAAGCAAGGTGGAGAACACTACGATCCCTACAAGCAAGATGGAGAATACTACGATCCTTACTATAATCCTTACGTAAAAGATTATAAAAAGCATGATAAAAAATATTAGCCGACGCGAACAAAGAATAATATGACAATCAGGATCAACAGTAAGACCCAAGCGAGATCCTTAAGCAGTTATCGAAACCATAGCGATCGTTTCTCATTTTTTTTTTTTTAAATAACCTGTATATAGGATTCTATTTCCCTTTTCTTTCTTTGTAATTAATTTTTTTTTAGACAGAAAATTCTTTAAAAAGTCCATTATTTAGTAATATTCCTCAAAAATTTTTTAATTTTTTTTAAAACTTTGATTTGCAATAAAATTGATTTTTTTTTCTTTTGAAGCATTTTTTATAAATTTATTATTTAAAAAATTTAAATTCTCAATATTCTTTAATATGATGCTATTTTCATTTCTCGAGTAACCGATCAATTGTTTCTTTTAAACGATTCAAATTGTGATCAAATTTAACCGTTCAATTCACGAGATTGAAAATGATTATCAAGTAAAATTCATCCCACGTGATCGGTGACATATAAGCGGGTGAAATATATTTATACATAGTAAAAATGAAAAACAGAGGTCAACTTTTTATGTAAAAATTTATTATTAGAAATTTTTTGACGATCATTTAATTTCTGCCGGTTAATTCTACTTACTGAATACGATATTTTAAAATCGTACTTTTGAACAAGATTGTAAAACAAATATAATAATTCTTTTTAATAATATATTTATTTCAAAATCGCATTTATATTAATCACTTTTTCGAAAAAATTTTAATTTTATATTTTCGTGAAATTTTAGGTGAGAATACCAAGAATAAGGAATTTTTATAAAATAATTTAATTGGAGTATAATATACGAAAAAAATCTCTATTGATAAATTTTTATGATACCGCGTGACAAATATTGGAAGTCACGTGGAGTTAAATTTTTTCTGACGATACTGATTCCATTTACCATGAGAGAAATAAAATAATAAAATCTCAGATTTATCTACCAAATATAAAATGGTTGAAATATGCAAACACTATTATGTTATTTGTTCTGAATCACAAGGCTTATCTTATCAGCCTCATTTATCATAAATATATTTCATTTTCGAATTCAAAACTTAAATTTTTTTACGCAAAATAAAGGACAATGAGATTGAAATCAACCAAATCCTCTGTTTTGATCGTGTCGACAATTAATTTAGAAGATGAAACGAAAGTCAATTGTGCTGATAAAACTGTGCATACTAACTTTTCACGAATTCTTCATTTGATTAATCTTCTCCAATTACGGCTTGATATTTAATTAGCTCCTCTCAAAACATAAATCTCAAGAAAAGCGCGAAATCAATTCAAATCCATCACATAATAAGCAAATCTACTTCGGAAAGGACCAGCCAAAGAACAAAGAATATCCTATTATACGTGAAAAAATAAATAAGATAAATAATTACCGCCATTACCTTTATTGACCCATACAAAAGATCTATGATAATTTATAAACGTGGATCGGACAATATAATTTGTCCTTACATTGATTATTCAGAAGATGGTTATTATAAATAATATCATATCTTCAATATCTTTTATTTTATTGGGTTAGAATAAAATAAATTTCCTATTTGATAATAATCTTAATAATCTTAATTATTTTCCAACTTGATTATAAATTTATTCCAAAAAGTAAAATAAAAAAAAATCATGATCTATATACAATTAGAAAATAAATCGGAATTTACAAAACTGTCCTCAGAAATTACAGTAATCTATGGCTAATGAGGTTTTGAAAAACAAATTGAAGATAACATAATATGAAAAATATAAAAATATGATGTATTATTTGGAAATGATTTACATTTACCTTCTATAATTGGAAAAAAATATGACTGATTTGGAAACAAAAACCATTTTTCCCAACATATGAATTTTTGTTATAGGATTTAATCTTCTCTTACTATTTTTACTTCTTGGACCATCGAGTTGAACTTGTCGATGTTTCTTACTCCCACGTTAATAGGTAAGTTATATGGTGGAGAATCGCCTACCTCTCCGTCGTCTCCGATACCATCAGGCATAGTTTCGCGATGCCAAATATCATTGCTAAATCTTTTTGAGCCTTTCTGATGAACAAGTTTCCTACGATACCTTTTATATTTTCTGGATGGAAGTCGAAATCGTAACAAACAATGTTCTTCTTCTTCATTTGCTATAGAATTAACGAATTCTAATCCTTTGTTACGGTCTTCAGTAATATATTTGGTTGGGTGTGCCCCATATCTTGCGGGGACAAGACCTTGATAATTCAACGATTCTTCTGCCTCGGTAACATTCATTTTTCGATATACTTTGACCGTTTGTGAATCTGAATCACTTGAGGAGTCATCGGTCCAAATAGGTGAATCTTGATCAGAAGTACTTTCTTCGGTGTCAGAGTTAATTACATATCCAACATCATAGTCCAAACGTAATTTGGAAAATAACTTTTCGAGTGCATCAATCGAACTCTGTCCGTTCATATTTTTTTTTTTTTTTAGTGATACTTCTACGGGAATTGTGTGAGGCTGCCTTTTAAATGTCTTTCGTAGTGTTTGTTAATTAGACCAAATATAGCTAGTAAGATGAAAACAATGTATCTTATGATTCTTACATAAGTAAATTTTTATTATTCCTTTTCAAGAACTTTATCCCTTTAAAATATTCCGATAAAAATTTTTCATTTGTCAACAACGTTGCCTCTCAATTATTTTAAATTTTTGCTCCTTTTACTTTATAAAATTGAGGGTAAAGTGAGAGTTATGATCATATATTACTTTGAACTAATGAATTTTTATTTTTATTTTTTTTTACTTAATTATTAAACGTAATTCTATTTTTATAAAAATTATGTTTATTAATGAAAATACCTCGAGAGAAACTTGTTTAAATTCTGTTTGATAGAAAAAAAAATCGTTTGTGAAATCAAAATAGGGTAAACTAGCATACAGTATCTTACCTAATCTCATTTGTTGGAATGGGTGGAATACCAAAATTTCACGATCACGTGATTTGTATTACAGAGTATAATTACGCGATTTTTATATTGTTATCGAGCAAACTTACAAAAAGAATGAAGGATTCATTAGAACAGGGTAATTCGATGTTCTCTGATTATCTTCGGGTAATAAAACTGCCGAAAAAAAGGTGAGATTATTACGCGTCATGTTTTTTAGGTTTATGTGATACGAAATTTAATTCGTTGATCACGCATATATTCCACACGAATATTAAGATTTTATAAATTATATTTATTACCACTAGGGAATGGAGATCATTGTTAAGTCCGGAACGATCTTAACTAAAAAAAAAATATTGCAAAAGCCAATCAGCATTGACTCAATTATTGAGCGGGCGGACATCCAGACTTTTGCGTAGAATTATATAGTCCTTCGCTACGCTCCGGACTAATGAAATATTTATGCACTGCTTCAAAAAAATAACGACCTTAATCGTGGTAGTGTAGTGTAAATAACTGAGAAGAAAGTGTGTATGAAAAAAATATCAGTACTTATTAATAAAGTTTAAAATTAATTGTCAGTTCTTTGAGCTGTTATAAAAGGTATTTTCCCTTAAATATTTGAAATCTTTAAAATTAATAATTTGCACATTATCAACTTTTACGCAATGTCAAACATAAACGAATAAATGATTGCTTTAAGAAACATATAATACCTCGTTTTTCTGAAAAAATCCAAAGAGAGCATTTTTTTCTTTGGATGTTGTGCATCAAGTATTATTATATTTAAGTTTGTGGTGGAAGTATGTGTTAAAATACATCGATTTAGTAAGAATATTCTTATAAAATTAATTTTAACTATAGTAACAAAAGTTTAATTACGAAAAAATTCTTCAATAATAAATTTTTATATGTTACCATATATAGTTTGATTTAATTAGTTGACAGAACATAGTCAACCTCCCCGATAATGAATTAGTTCTGTTGATATCAATGTTAACATATCAACTAAGGTGAGGAGTGTATTATTTGCGACTCGATGGTGTACCATCATGATGGCACTTTAAAACATAAAAAACATGGTTTTTTGATAATCGTAACGCCTTCATATTTTGTACTCTTGATTTTGCTGACTGTAAATTCGTTGGTATTAGGCAACGGAGAGACACAACGAATATGCATTTTACAACTTCTTCGAGCATGTAATATTCACTGTTGATGAGCGCAAATTTTATAATTTGTTGTATTTTCATCATGACCTCGGCCAGTGTTCCAGACTCTTCATGATATTGGACTTGTTTTTCCTGGAAGGTCGATGGACAAAATCCAATGGATACGTTAAAATTTTATCTTCTTTCCCTTATGACCGAAAGGATAATTTTTTCTCTGAGTCCTTCGTTAAATGATTTGTTGAATACATTCGAACATTTTTTTTTTCCTGCACAATTCCACTCTCTTTCAGTCATTCTATTATTAAAGTATTTAAGCAAGCATACAGTCTTAAAAATATAAAAATGTTAGTATAAAAACAAAAGATAATACATTTCTCAACGCTACAATATGATGGAATACCTTTACATATAAATAATAGATTTTAAAATCGTAAAACAAACTTGTCACCAACTTTGTTTGGCTTTCTGTTGCAACTGTTACCATATATAGTCGTTACCGATTCGTGTATCCCTTATAGTCACAGGCATCGGAACCCACCGTAATGAGTGATTATAAGGGAGGTATTCTTTGTTATAATCACATATTATTTTATTATACAGATAAATAAAATAAAAAAAAATTTTTTTTTATTATAGAATGTTATTTCTTTTAAATAAATTTATTCATAATATCTGATTTGTATTAATAAGTTTTGAATTTTATAAAGTTAATAAGGGCCCCTGATTACGAAGGTATCACATTAAGATAACCGTATCGTACACTTTAGGAATAATTCTCCTAAGTAACATAAGTGTAACCATGTACACTTTGGCCATTTTAATACTAGTAAACTTAGTAGATATCACATCAATTATCACGACAAGGTTCCAATCATCATAATCAGGGGCCTAGTTAATATTAAATGTATTTGTCTATTTGATTTTTTTTTATTTTTCATAAAGTCAAAGCATAAGCTAATGATTAGCAATACTATGATTTACTCATTAAAGTTGATGGTCTTGTATCAAATTTGATTCTACTTCTTTAGAACCTGAATATGTTTTAAAATTTAATAATAAAAATGTTTTAATCTTCTAAGATATTTAATGAAAGAACTTTTACAATCAATTGATTTTTTTAATATTCAATAATTATTACATCTGCACAAATATTACTTTTTGAATATTAATTGATTTACCTTTTCATTTATCTTTAATAATAATTAATACTCCATATATATTTTATATAAATATAGGCCACTTTGGGGGTTCTGGGACAAAATTTCCAAATAGGTATACAAAAGTGTGTAGCCTCCCAGCTACTTTCCTGATATACGAAATTTTGAAATCTTTATTAAACCCCAAATTAGCCTACAAGACCAGGAAACATATCGAAATTCAATATTGAATTCATGCTTAAAATTGAGCTAAGGCTTAAATTTAGTTAACATATCTCCTTACCTAAATTTTGCGTTTTCAAGACTAAGATGTACACCATCTTTGTTAACATGCTGGCCTCTTTTTAATCCCAAATAATATAATGAAAAAAGTATGCAATTCTGCTTACCCCTAAAAAAGAACAGCGAGCACTGAGGACCGAAGTGTCCGAGTGTGCTCGCAGTTCCCCTAAGCAAGCCTAATTAGCATATCATTTTTTATGTTATTCTAGAATTAATTCTAGAGCCAATTCATTAGTGTAATCAAATTCCGATAAGTCTCACCTCTTTGAGGTGAGATTTATCAGGTTCGGATACCAAATTCTTGATTAAAAGATTAACGAACATATTCTAACATATTATTAATTTCTCACTATGCTAAAACCCGTTCTGAAGATATTTCATTTACATAAATAATAAGACAAAAAGTCTCACTTCTGGGCGAACATAATTAAGTCTCACCTCATAAGTCTAACCTCTAAGGCGAACATAATATTCACGAAGTCTGTGAAGCGAAGCGGAGCATATACACAAGATATGTTCACCTCTAAGTCTCACCTTTAAGTCTAACCTCTAGGCAAAAAAAAATAAGTTTCACCTTTAAGTCTCATGCAACGCGCCTCTGGCCCTCTAGGGTGAACATATTTAAGTCTCACCTCTAAGTCTTATGCAACGCGCCTCCAGCCCTCTAAGTCTCACCACTAGGAAAAGCAAATAGTGTTCATAGTCTGCGGAGCGAAATGGAGCCCTTTTTCACCCAGAGGCTGAAAAAGAAAATCTATCCCCCTTTTTCTGGCTTCGAATTTATGAGAAGGTGAAAGCGAATATATTTAAGTCTCATACAACGCGCCTCCCGACCCTCTAAGACTCATCTCAAAAGTATATAGATCGAACATCTGGGCTTTATCCCGAAGCATATTCACATGCTGGATCTGATAATTACTCTTATTACAATAGCTACATAGGCTATTATCAATCCCTGAAGGTTTATCTATCTTTGTAGGTATATCACAAGCAGAGCACGGCTGACGCTTCTTAATATTGAAGTGTGATCGACAACCTTCAGGTCTAGTACTACGTTTACCACAAATTTCACCAGTATTGAAAAGATAATAACAAATAAATTTTACTTTTGCTTTAGCAACTTCGCCTATTTTATAGTTGCATAATTAATTTTAATTGAATAAATCTTTACACAATATAGTAATACATATACTAATTACACAATGAGTACACAAATTC